TTTTAAGAAAACATTTGATCAATCGATTTCTATGCATCACTGGCCAAGTCGAAAATATCGCTTCGATAGCATATACAGGGCGTTTGTTATGGAAATTACCATTTCTAATAAATTATAATTTTTTAATGTCCTGTATAGCTAGCTATACATCTTTATTGCAACCTGGTTGAAATGTGTTTGCTTTTACATAATGGAAAGAGTCTGATATTATGTGCTCTTTATTTCAGAAAGAATTAAAATAATAATCGTTAATGCAGAAGAGCCGGCGTCGTTCCGTTCTCCAATTTTGATTCCTTATTTATCCTTAATCACATCGAACATGGGATAATTTATTATAAAAATAAATTGCATAAGGTGCAGGAGTAATAATTATGTAGGCATAGGGGGCATTAAAAAATATATAATTTATTAGAAATTGTGCGTTTGTCTCTTATATTTCTTAATTTTAGATTTGGGATGCGTAGAAATCGATTAAGCTATTTTAAACGTTTTCTTATAAAAAAAATGCCTGATTCTATTTTGTCATTCTTCGCAGATTTCCAAACACAGTGAAGGTAGATTCTCTTCAAGTACTACATATTAAGGAGGTATATCGGGTTTACTCAAATACACAGATGTACTTGAAATTTATATAGCGTATTACCCAGTGCTCCCTCTGTGCGTCATATTTTTTTGATTTTTTTTTAATTTAGATTTTGAGATGTTGGAAGTTGTTCATTTTCACATAGGTTTATATGGCGAAGATGGACGGTGCGGCTCTTTTTTTGCCCATAACTGAGAAAAAAATGTAGAAATTGTGAAACAAATCTTTTCCATAGATAGTACACGGTATTATCTTATTTTTGATGTAAAACTAATGTAAGTTTTGAACATAGTACAGCTGAATCAATTAGGAACAGAAACCAATAATTGCATTTCTGTCTGACTTGAGGATTAATGTGGCAACGTCGCAATCAGCTGACAGCAAGGAGGGAATACATTTGAAAGACTTGATAAAAACGAAATTGATTTCAAACATACATTTTCCCTAAATCCCATGTACGTTGTTATCAACAATAAATTATCCACAACAGATTATTTTTGTAATGTTTTTAAAAAACTAGATTAATTAAAAAAGACTAGGAAGCTGTGCTATATTTATTGGAATAAAAAATACAGTTGATAAATCCTTTTAATATATTTAATGGTTTTTAAAAACATCGTAATCATTACCCAGCAATATTTAGGGTTACATAAAGTTTTCTTTACTTGATTAATATAATTAGTAATACTTGAGATAAAATCATTTGTACGGAATAACAAAGGAACATAAATATTTCTCAGCAAACATCTAAAAAATTAGTTATAGTTGCAAAACTTTTGTAACATTACTAAAGTAGAGATTAAAAACACGAACAGTGAGTAATAACGTAATTTCTATCACAAAACCTTCAAAATTACATCCAACATTTTCTTCGACTTGGACGACAGATGGGCGCGAGTGTCATTTCATTTCTTTAGAACTAAATTAACATAATTCTCGTTGTTTTACCAGTTCACGTGATTTACGGATTTTAAATAAAGGATACAAATCTTCGCGAGGATAATACGATATATTTGCTATATATAATAATTATATTGTACATAGTTTACACACAATACATTTTTGAACGCGTACGCATCTTTACCCGAATTTGACGCTCAATATCTCCGATGTCCGAAATAGGCATTTTTACTTGCATTAAGTGCCTGACTATATATATACATTGCATATATGTGCATATCATGTAGAAGGTGACTCTTTCAACTATTAGAATCGCGATATCTCAGGAATGGTGATCCTTAGAAAAAAAAGTATAAGGACCATTTTTGTAGATAATTTTGAGTTCTATAATTTTTGTCAGGGCTACTTTTTTGATAAAACATACCGTTTTAGAAAAAAAATTACAAAAACATCAAATTTTGACCTTTGACCCCGAATAACTTATTTAGCACACATGGGATCGATGGAGATTTTTGACACTTTATTTCTAATGGTGTACCCAAGGTCTCCACCAAAATTTAGCTCTGTTGAATTTTCGTTATTTGAAATGTCTATTTTGACCGGGCTATACTTAAATATAATATTTTTATGTTAATTAGTCAATATGTATGCTATGTGCATATGAGTAGATTTCTTTGCTATATAGATAATGTTTATCGCAAATAATTTCAATAGAATTTAATTTTTTCAAATTGGCAGCGGGTTTTAGTCCCATAAGAAAAGCATAGGACCCCCCTTGCGCTTCTCACTTCCCTCGGACACCGATATACCTCCTTAAAAAAAATTGAATCGGTAAATGTAGTCTAAAATACGAGTTTCAAATTGGAACGCAATGTATACATAAAATATATGAACATTCGATTTGGAAGTATATTATGCTGATTATTTGTTAACATTTTGTTTGCAAAATCACAAATAAATGTAAGAAAATGAACATTTGACGCAAAATTGACAAAGCTAAAAAAATATATTTTTTGAAAATTACAAGCTACATGCAAAAGTGTGATCAATTTAAATTTTGTACAGGACGCACTATTTTTTTTATCGTTTTATGTAGACGATATCCCATGTCACTCCTCCACTGGTTAGTAATTTTGTAATGCATCAAATTTTATTTGGATTTCTTTCTCGGTTTGGAACGAATAAAATTGATATTTCTTTACACACAAGGTACGTACGCAACAAATTATCTTTTATTTTGTAAAGACATGTCACTCCTCGAAGTATGTTCAATTAAAACTTGCATTGCCCTATAAACTACATATTGACATCCGCTCACAAATAAAAAAGTACGAAGAGTAAATATTTCTTTTAAATACAAATGAAATTGTATACCTATTCATTGAAATTCAAAAGTTACCTAATCTCATAACTTATCTAGAATAGACCCATTACAAATAGACCAGGCAATAAAGAGAAAAATAACTAGATTTTCGCGGCCCGGTCCGATTTTAATGCGGTTTTTACATTTTGTTCAGAAAGACCGTCGGAAAAAAGTCCCGCCTGTTTTATTATCCGGAAGTGGCGGAAATGCATCGCGGGTGCATAAAGTGCATCTAGAAGTGCATCGCATCCGGGAAACTTGCCAATGTGCACGAAATACCGCAAAAATTGGCACTCGGGGGTTTTGGGGGACGCAGAATTCGAATATGCATATATCCAGTCCACCCGACTCCCCGGGAGGTGACTTCCGGCCGCCTGGGGGCCCGGGGGGCACGTGGATTGCAAGGTTCTCCGAATGACTAGAAAAATGGATCTATGAAAATCTAAAGTTCTCGAAATTACTGGGAAAATGTATCTCGGGGGTTTTCGCGGGTGCTGATTCCGAATCTGAGGGTGAAAAATATCCCCTGTGCTCGTGGAGGGGGCGATGGGGGGAGGGGGGGTTATAATATTCATGAACTGGTAATATGGAATAATGATTATTTTGGGGATAGAAAATTATAACGTGTGATGTTAGTGATATATTTTGATTGGTATTTTATAGTTGTTTATTATAGTTGTTTGATAAATGAGCCCGTGTGACAATTAATACAGAAGGAATGTGCATTGAATATATTTTAAGACAATATATATTTTAAAACAATAAATATACTTTTATACTTTAGAACAATAAATATATTTAAAAAAATTATCAAGCTTATCCTTTCTTTTTCCAACCGAACTTTTTAGTTTGAGTTTCGTTCCATGATTTTCTATTAATTTATATTCATAGAAGATTAACGCCCTTCCCCAAAATAATCAGAAATAGTCATCGGATGCATTTGGCAGGGTCAGATTAGGAATCAGCACCCGCGAAAACCCCCGAGATCCATTTTTCTAGTCATTCGGAGAACCTTGCAATCCACGTGCCCCCCGGGCCCCCAGGCGGCCGGAAGTCACCTCCCGGGGAGTCGGGTGGACTGGATATATGCATATTCGAATTCTGCGTCCCCCAAAACCCCCGAGTGCCAATTTTTGCGGTATTTCGTGCACATTGGCAAGTTTCTCGGATGCGATGCACTTCTAGATGTACTTTATGCACCCGCGATGCATTTCCGCCACTTCCGGATAATAAAAAAGGCGGGACTTTTTTCCGACGGTCTTTCTGAACAAAATGCAAAAAACCGCATTAAAATCGGACCGGGCCGCGAAAATCTAGTTATTTTGGGGTAAATCGTTTTTTATTGCCTGGTCTAAAAGGTTAGGATGACATTGGTTCCAAGCAACGAATTGTAACCACTAGAAGGAGCTTTGGATGTATTTGTATGCGAATGTACATAAAGAAATCAGATCTGCAGGAGACACAAATTTCTATTGATCGAATTAATATTCCCGCCTACGTCCGCATTTCGATGATTGTCGATGACATCTGTCAAAGGAAAAGTATGTAGCCGCTATTAACGTATTTGAGTTTATTTTTATTTAGTGTGGCATTTCCCTCTTATGGACATTTATTTAGTGCTAATACATGGTTAGAAAGTGTGTTATTTATAAAGTTTTATTTAAAAAGGGCGAGCAGCGCCAGTGCTCTTTTGACAGGTAAGTAAACAAGCAACATGGGCGGCATTTGAGGAATTACATAAGGGTGTTTTACATTTAGTACTTAATTAGCAGTGATAAAATACTGAGTAAATCATTATCTAAATTATTAAAAAGATATATTTTGATATATTTTTGAGAAACTTGTGGAAGCTCTGCCTAGGTGATGTCTATAATACCGACAACATATTTGTTTGTTCTGATCATTTTGCGATTAATGATTTTCTGACAAAGCCATCAGTTATAAAGTACTTGTGAGAGATAGCTATTCCAATAATAACTTCTACTTATAACAGGTAAAATAACTTTTATATTCATTAAAATATACAAGTAAAAAGCATATACAGTTATCTAGTACCTAGTACCTCTTTTACCTTTTTATTTAATTTTTATAGATCAGACAGTTCTAATAAGGAAAATATATTTCTAAACGATGTTCTTACGGAACAGTCATTGCACTTGCCGCAACAAAAACCAGAAAATATATCCACATGTTCATCATCATCAACACTGAGTGCTCAATTAGGCTTGTTATCTACTACAAATAAGGCTACAGATCTTTCTGAAATATATTTGAAATTTGGTGACACCGTACCAAAACATTGATCAACATTAACTGCACTTAATAGGATCTTAGGATAGGACATAATAGGATAGGATAGGACTTAGCATAATAGGAATGGATTCACCCAATCGCAATAAAATTATAAACGTGAAGTAAGTTATAAAAATATAAATAACTATATATCCTTTGTATAGTATCTACAACTAATACCCTATAATTTTGCTATCTGCTTACCTATCTAACATTTTTTTTATTCAGTACATTTTAAAAAACACCAAGAAAATTATATCTGTTACCTATTTATATATTACCATTTTATTTTATATAAACACTANACTTTGTCGGTGTTAAAAATGAATACAAACTGGAAATATGTTTACTAGATTTATTATAAGGCCTACGGAATTCGAAACAAACAAAACAAAAGTAAAACAGATTCTAATTACAATTATTATTACTAACTAAAATTCAGGAATGTAAAAATACTTTACAAGCGGTGTAAGAATAACAAAATGGGTTAGAGCAATTATTATTACGACGGATTTTAAATGCCGATGCGGTTTTTCGGTGCTGTAAATAAATACACATTAGTCAAATATCAGGACTCACAATCGGTACGGTAGAAAAGCGGAGTATTTGGCGTTTTAGTTTATTTAACAAACGGTCTAATACTTTAAGAAACGGTACGCCAGAATAATATTCGGTTTTACATTTCGGTCGGTGCTAGAAAGGGAATAAATAAGATTAATAAATTAGAGCAATAAATAATTAATAAATAAATTGTCCCCAATGGTTCTGAAACAGAAAAGTGATTACGGGTTACTCTAATTCTACAAATAAATATCGGCGGTAGTTTCTAGCAAAGCGACGGAAATTAAGCGGAAATGCGACCAGCCAGGAGGAAAAAGCCAAGCAAAGCGGTTTACATCAGGCACAAATAAGCAAACGGTAATCAGGAAAATGATGTTGTTGGTAAACAGGAGGCAAAGTCTGGACGAGGTGCGAGTTCAAATGCGGGGCGGCCGACAGATTTCTCCCAAAAGCGGTGGGGCACCCAGCCAAACTTCTAGGGTCTATCCGTCGCTGCACAGCTGACACGCAACGTCTTCTACTGGCGGTGAGACACCCAGCCAAACCAGCAGTTTCGGTTATTGTGCCTTACAACGTTTATCAAGCGGGGGCGGTGAGACACCCAGCCAAACCCTCGCTGACAACGCCGTTGCCGTACAGTCTGACACCTTCACGTCTTCTACTGGCGGTGAGACACCCAGCCAAA